TCCTCATTTCCCCACACTGTCTTCCAATAGACCGGTGGCCCAGTTATCTGCCATAGGCTGTTGTACCTCAGTAGTTTTAATAAGTGCAGTGCACTTACAAGGGATCGGATCAATTGGCCTACTGAGGTGATTTGACAGTAGGAAATAGTATGCTTTGATCCACCTTACTAGCCAATCGATTATATGTGACTCATCGCATTGTTAGTACGCTAAGGCTCTTAGATAGTGCAATCATAATACAATCCTGTTCAAAACGCTTAAAGGCTCTTCAAATGAATAGTTTTAGACGACCTCAAAGTAATTGCGAAACAATTGATTGACCCCATAAAGCGTTTATTTAGAACAAAGTTCCCATTCATGAGCAGAGAGGAGACAACCTGACTTTTTGTTCTTTTTAACCTATCTCGATAAAAAAATATTCTACTGAAGCTCAAAAAATGTTACTTTTTTTATTGCATTAGGCAGAACATACCGATTTGCAGTAGAGAAATTCTGTAAATGTGGCCACTAAGCCACCGGAAGTAGGCTCAGCAAAATCGTGTTTTGTAATAATCCACTCATTTCTGGGTCGTTGCAATGATTCTGACGCATCTGTTGACGCTTGAGAAGTGGCTTTCACCTTACTCCTTCTTTGCCTTCCACGCAATCGTCTAGTCTCCTCAGAACACTGTCTATACAAACTCCAAGCTTCCATAAAGAAACGGATATTTATGAATAAGTGAAGATTGCACCAAGAGACCAGTCTAAATAAGTTAAAACGAATAGGTTATACCAGCGAATGATTGACGCATTTACAAATAAAAGCGCAGCAAAACCTACCGTAGAGTCGTCTTCAGCCGAAAGTGACCAATAATATTAAGATCGAAATCCTAAGGTATAGGGAAAAGAAAGTTGATGATGATAAAGGAAACATTTTATAATCTTATTAAAGGTAGGCAAATAGCAGAGTCAAATGACTTTCTTCACTTAACACTAAAGATAAAAATGGGACTCCAAATTTCAGCCTACTTATAGTACTTCAGTAGGTGGATCATTATAAAGTTATTAACCTCAAAGCTCTTCTGTTTCCGCAACGCATCCGTAGTGGCCAGACATTTAACAGCTGCTGTCATCTCCTCATAGGGATACTGTTTGAGAATCCTATTCAACATCAGCGGATCATGTGGCGAGTTAATCTCTTTACGCAATCGGAGCGCACCCTAAAAAGCAAAATATAAAAATACACGATCAACACGAGAAGCTGGTGGTGAGTGCGAAGAGTGAAAGTCCCTTACCAGAAATAGATTTCTCAGAGTTTCAATCACAATAGCGGGTCGACTCTGGCCAATATCTGGTAGGGCTTGTTCACTGTGAACTGAAGCGAGGAGGATAAAATCATAATGAGATCGAAGGGTTTCACGAGACTTCAAGAGCATTTCTCGAATTCTCTCCAAATTGAACTGATTTTCTCGACTCATCTCTTGATTTTCCTCATTTGATATCCCAGCTGTAAGTTGGATAAAAAAGGACATAAAACGGTTAGCAAAACAATGATTCAAATATTTCGAAATGGCGCATAAAATGTTGCGATAGGCTTCAAAAGAGGGTGGCGTTTGAGATAGAAGATGAGAAACAGAGTAACTTTTGAAGCAATTTACGATTACTGTTACCAGCATGAAGAGATGAAACTAAATAAACATGACCAAACTCCAGTGTACTTTTGGTGCACAATCTAACGACGAATACAATCCAAAAGGCGATGTCGCTAAGGGGAACTGTTTTCGGTGAACGGGAAGTTTACATGTAATAAAACGAAGACTAAATAACAAACTGCTTTGGCGTTAATGTGTTTCCAACCTAGTTCTTTACAAAATCTGTATCTAAACCAACGACGGCCACGCGATCTTATAAGCGTGCTCTTCTACTAATTTTACATGCATAGGTGGGCCAGTTTGAACCCGTTTCCTCTGATAACGACAACCGTTGAACAAACTCTAATATATAACGATCATACCATTTATTGCTCTTATTGGAAGAAAACCTAGCGCAAGTTGAGTAAAACGATAGGGAAGACGGATTTAAACGGACTTTCTCCCAGGTCACAACGAAAACACATCAGCATGGCTTGGATTATTTACGTGAGAAAGAAAAGTTGAGTAAAAATGCCAAATAGGTGGCAAGATAATTCTACTTAAATAGCTGCACGAATAAATGAAGTAAATTACGTCACTGACTCGTCTACAGTAGATGACATCAGTGCACTCAATAAATTCACAGTGAGGCAAAATGTGGAGAGGTAGAGAACTTACGAATGAGCAGGGACTTGTTGAGCATGTGGGGACACTGTTTAGCGATGGTCGGGAGGAAGTTCTTCACAATGAGCTGCACTAAATCCCTGAAAAAATGATGTGCCTGTTCTGAGTCACGATTGTAAAGGTGCACCCAGGCTGACTTGCCAATATGGTACTGAAATCAAGCAAACAGCAAATAGTCATGAATATTAATAACACTAACTACTGAAATCAAATAAGTAGGCTGAGTTGTAGACTAACCTTAGCCATGAGTTCAGTATCACTTGAAACCTTTGTAAGAAGGATATCGGTTTGAGTTCTTTCATCATTTCGAAGCATCAACAGAAACTTCAACCGACGTGAACAAGCATAACTAGTCTTGTCACTGCTCTCCTAAAGATATTAACAACGAAATTATGGTAAATGCGCTGTACAACAACGAAGCCCGATAAGTGATCAACTTACAATAGGGAAATATTCGTGCATAATGTTTCGCACTATGTTAGAAGGAACACAGACGTATTCTCGAGTGTGGCCAACAAGGAATAAGGAAGCTACACGACAGGCAAGCAGCTGAAATGAGCGATATTACAAAATTGTCAATATTATTTACAGTAAAAAACCGCGAATAAGCGAGTGTGAATGGAACCTTACCAGCTGATCTTCTATTTTAGTCCAACAAGCGCGCCTTGAATGCAAGCTGTTGCGTATTTCAACATCTCTTTCATCCACTAAGTTAAAATAAGAATTATGACATGCTGGAAAGAATTTATAATAAAAAGATAAAAAGCTAAGAACCTTACAACAATAAGCCCAAAATCAGTTAGTTTAAGGGAAATTATCATTTACCGAAAATCGGATAGCGATATCCGTATCTTAGAGCATTACAGACTTTATCGAAAATTAGCTAACGAGAAAACACCCTCGGATTAAACGAAGGGAATATTACTTACATGCTCGTTTGTCCGTTGATATGAAACGGCGACTAACTACAATCGGAAAGCAGAAAGTTAAAAAAGTACAAGTTTAACTTTAATTACTATGCATATTTAAGTAGCACTTACTTGCTTTGCGATGAATGTGAGGTGTCGTAGAGGCCTTCTTGCGCAGACGTCTTTTTCTCGATTGAATAATAGGCTGCAATTCCTCAAACGGTGAACTGTATCCACCCTCCTCCTCCTCCTCACCTTCACCTTGATCACCATCGTCATTTTCATTATCAGCATCAGATCCGGAGGCATCAGCAGATTCTCCATCTGAATTGATCCTCCGCAGCTTTTTTCTGGCGCTTCTTAACCTATAGCTACGAGTGCGCCGATGATCTTTCCTTGGTGTACCTTCCTCATCTGTGTCCTTATCAACAGTCGAAGTGATTCTGAAGGGATATCGACGAGATCGCGATATAAATAACCCCTCGGGATGTTCTGGTGGTAATTCTAACTCTTTCACCGGATTTGTGCCTATAAAGAGCGAATTTAATTAAACATCTGAGGAGAGAACCAATCAAAGCTAGACAAATTCCTCGAGCTATTCCCTTAATCCCATAGGCATTGACCTTTGATAAATAAGCAAATGCCCACTCACTGGGAGAGACCAATTACATCCGAAACACGGAGCGAAAAGCGAGTGCACGTGAGTGAGATCCAATTAAGGAGTAAGCCAATACCTGGGGTGAACGAAAGACTTACCTCCACGTGGTGCAAAACTCAAGTGCTTATTTGGGTGAGCCATGTTCCCGATTTGCCATTGAATTAAGCCCATTAACAATCCAGCCATTACTTAATTAATTAATTAAAATCATGCTATCGTACTCCAGACGACTGATTTAGCCTCAAGCTTTACCTAACTTGCATATAGGCAGATAAGAAGACTAATCTCACTCACCAAAGAACAGCTGCACAGTCCAGGGCCAAAAAGCTCCATCTCCAATGGTTTTTAAGCCCGGTTCAAACTCTCCAAGGATTATTCTCATTTCAAAATCCCTAACCGCGGGCTGCATTTGAAGGGTAGGGGAAGGGTATTGGGGCTGATATTGTGTACAGAGTCCTTGTTCATTAACACCATATCCCATCTCTTCAAACGGAGCCTTAACTTTGTACAAAGCCGCGTGCAGACCACCAACGCCTTTCAGGACAAACATCTCCACCTTGGTCTCGTAAATATCAACCAACGCCCTAATAGCAGTGTTTACAACTGAAGGAGTGGGTCTTTTCAGTGTTGTTGGCAAGATTTGGGGTAGAGTTGGGGTGTAGGACTCGTCATTTTGGACCAACACTTCCCGTAGACTTTTCACTGACAATACCGGGGGTTCTAGATCTGCAAAGTTGGCAAGAGCGGGATCAGAGAATCGAGAAAAGCCAAAAGGCGTGTACATGAGAATTGCCCGAAGATGAAGCCAGTAGGTATCGATATCTGCAGGAGTTTTGAAAGTATACTTGAGTAGTGGACAATTGGAGGTATCTGTAACGATGTGATGAGCTGGAGCTGCGAATCGCGTATCAAGGATAACCGCTTTTCGATGGAGATAAATATTTGCCTAAAATAGATAATTTGTCGCTAATTATCCAGGATGAATATTGAAGAAAATTAGCCTCTAATTGAGCATGAGATATATAGAGGTAGATCTAAGCCTATCAAACTACAGAACTGCCTTAGCCTGTCGGGATTAGATCCAATTAATATAGACTTCCAAGGGGACAAGAAATAAGAAATTACCACCAACTCCTAAAGTTGGCGCCGCACTTTGACAGCACAAGAATTGTTTGAATTCTAGATAAAACCTAGAGTACGAAATTTAAAAGCAAGAGGAATGAAGCAAACTACGAACCGCAAACAGACTCATGCATTTCCACAACACAGGCCAATTACATCTACTACTACTACTACTACTACTTCTAACAATACCCCAACTTACAGCTGATAATTGCAACTTTCCAGAATAACTCCTTACCATAGGCAGATGACCCTGGGTTGTTTGACCATTCAGAGTGACTAGACCGTGGCTAGAAAGCTCTCTAATGAGTTTATACACCCTATTCATGTTGTGTCGACTCATTATCCACGCGTAGAGTCCCCCCGAGTGACCGCCCGGAACGGGGACATAGGCTATGGGAGTTCGGAGGAGTTCAAATCTCCTCAAAGCGTCGGGGGCTAGAGAAGCACGATCACGATAAGGCGAGAAAGCATTGGCTTCTTCCACTTGAGAAGAGATGATTTTCTTAATAACTGGACGCAGACTAGCTTCGCCACCTTTGAGAACAGAGAGCCACTGGAGTAGAATGCGGGGAGCGTTGTTTGGTGAGGAGAGATACAAGAAAAGACCCATTGGCATTGACTGGAGAATATCATGTAGTGTTAACCATCCTGGAACTGAATAAAAAAGAGGATATTAACTCACGTCAAATAGAAATGTTAGGACAGAGAGCAAAGAAAAAGAGCCACAAAGCAGACTCACTTCCATCCAAATCTAGGTTGAGAGAATAGCGTAAGGTCGCATTAACAAACAGTGACTCGTCCTAGTTTCTACGTGTTAGGCTTCACTCAACCTTCAACCATTTAATCTCTCAGCACATGAAACAGACTGCTTCTTAATACAACTGGCCAACTACTTCACACCCCCTAAAAAATTTAACTGCCATGCTTCCGAAACTGGCCAGGCCAGTAGAACTGAAATCAGTGGTGGTATCTACAACAAACTGAGAAACAATCAAACACAACAAAGTGTTTAACTACTGACAATTACCAAATGAGTTACACAAATAGGAATAAAAACTCGACCCAATTGAGACTGCTTCTCACGCATCATGACACACCAAAAAATTGATCTTGAATATCCATGCTACTTAAATTATATTAGTAGGAATGCGGTATCTGAAACACCTAGGAAGGAAATTAGTATTTTAACATTTAATAAATTAACCAGAAGTCAAACAAATTCCACCGTTGAATAATTGAAAATCATGACAACAAAAGGGAAAACGAACCATTTCTTGTGATCAAATGCTAATAACTAAGGGCCAATAAATTGTTTCGTTAAACTATCTACCAAAACTAACCCCCAGATGGCAGTGTTTAAAGCACAAAATGGGGTTAATATTCGGGCAAAATTTGGGCTACTTAAATTATATTAGTAGGAATGCGGTATCTGAAACACCTAGGAAGGAAATTAGTATTTTAACTACCAAGCCAACCGAAACAACCCGACGCTAGTAAGACAAGTGAGATTCGAAATCAAGAAATCAAAATCCCAAACCCAAAGCCAACTCCGAGCGCGCGAGGAGACTGTGAATAAATGCACCTCAAGCCCTAGAGTACTAACAAATTAGTGAAAATCGAATGCTCACTCAAGGCGCGTTCACCGTACATTTATCGACAAGAAATGGGATAAACAAAAAAGTGACTAAGAAAGAGAGAGAGAGATAGAGAGAGGGAACAGGTTTTCCCACAAAGCTAGTAGAGGAGTGCTCTGGTAAAAGTATCAGCAGTGGTTTCCCTTGACACCTGAAATGACAGAGTCTAATGGAAATACACCGCAATACCTCTAATTGGTCATAACATTAACCTTCATTTCATTATCCTGGTGTAATGTATGGAATAGAGAAAGAAAGTAAATTTCCCCCAAGAACATCAAATAGTCGTGAGGAGACGATTTCTGACAAATTTGGAAGCACACCTCGTGCGCAGTTATAGTGCTTGAAGAGGTCAAATACGCCCAAAAATAACTTGAGCCAATGAATGCAGCACATCTTGGAGACCCCTTAGAAGAAAACCAAACCCACCTTCTCTCTTTACTCGGTGTGCATTTGGCCACTTCAATTGCCTGGGGACGTAGAGGTGGGTAACGAGCTGCAGCCTTTGCAGATTACTAATATCACTCACTAATGTCTAATAGAGTATTTATATGAACACTGACAAGTTAAATGCCAATAACTTGATATCAGACATGCGTGCACTCACCAGTGCTAGGGGGGAGAGGGGGGACATATCGATATTCCACTGAGTCGGGATTGTACACCGGTGCCCAGGATTCAGGCTAAAAGGTGAAAAAAAGGCATCAATAAAAGGAGTGTAGAAGGAGAGGGGTAATAAGACACTACTTAATGCGAATTCAGCATACCGTGGATGGGACCTTCTGGGTATCAGGTGGAAGTTCGTAGAGAAGATAAAAGAGGAATTTGTGTAGTAGACATCGTCTTCGCAGTTTGGATATATTTTTATCTGACAGACGAATAAGCTCCATTTCCTGAAAGTACAAGAAGAAATAATGACTGGGTGGTATATGAAATTATGCAGTGGCCTCTCACATCAGTACGAATGATTAAGAGACTTGCCAAAGAGAGTGTTACGATTATTAATACCCCCCCCCCCCCCCCCACCTCTTCATGATCAGATACGACTGGTTCTACAGTTCTTGACTTCAGTGGCCTTTATAATATATTAGGAGTCAGATAGAAACCGGTCTAAATCCTCTCATACAATAATTGGATGTTCACTGATGGGGTTTGTGAAAGTGTATAACCGCTTTGTAGGCAGCGAAGTCAGGTCAGTTTTCCTTAAGCCGATAAACGAAAAGAATTGCCAAGAAAGAGGATGAGGGTTCGAGCACAAGTGATGAAGCCTGATTATACAGCTTTCATAAGAAATGTGATCTGTTTGAGGTGGTTTAAGCGTGCCTAAAAGTCAACCAATTGGACTTGAAATAAACTCGTTGGAGTCACAATTTACCTATCCTTCCCTTGAACAAATTACGATTTTTCTGAGATTAATTAATGGCCTCAAGAGAAACGTTTACAAATATGAAATCTTATCCAACCACTAGGTTGACCCCAACTCTATCAAGCTTAAAAACAAGCTAATTAATTTGAGCATATAGCACAGAGCACATAATCAGTGAAATACTTGCACTCACGGCCTATTAAGAGATAGTGCTCATTAGATCAGGCGAACTTAAAAGATGAGGTCAAGTAAATTCATACAATTGATTATTACTATTATTTTGGGGCTCATGAGAGAAGACACCTGACAACAAGCATCCTGGAATGAACATTAAGATACTTTGACGAATCGATGAAAAATAATAGGTTATAACACGATCCAATTTGCATCTTTAGGGGGAATCATCACAGAAACTCACACGACGCTGTTCCATAATGACACCAAAAGCATATTCAACCTATTAGTAGTGGTTTCCCCATTCCAATTCCACCATGCTGAATATGATACGCTAAATGCATCGATGCTAGTCGCATTCAACTACTCTTGACTGCAAAAAGATATCAATCAGGGGGAAGTTGAAACCAGAAGCAATATAACAAGTTCCAAGCATCGTGGACACACACTCTCCGCCAATGAGCCTGGGAGTCTTAGTAAGGACATCGCAAGTTGCAAATACCCCCAACAAAACTCTTCCTGCATAGGGCAATGGATAATTCAATAAACAAAGTAAGAACAAGTGCAAGGCAATAGGGGGGGGGGAAGAGTGCTGAAAGCGAGTGATTAAACGTAGCACACCACCATAAACTGCTCAACCTGTATAATAACCTAAAATGAAGCGAAAGAAATGATTATGAGTAACAGTGTTGAAAGTTTCTATCACCTTTTCCTTCCTCTCTCAATGCACTACGCTCGTCCGCCACACACACAGCTGTCCAATCCACCTCTTGAACATTTCATTCAGGGAAAGACTGTAGTAAGCAGATACTCTTCAAGTTCACTTGTTTGGTGTGTAAGGAGGGGGGGGGGGTTAAAGTGAACACTGAATTCAAAAGCTACTTTAGACCATTATAAAAAAGGAGAAATGAAAGGTGTCAAACCTACCTTCTTAGTGATAGAGACATCCAAAGAGACAGCTTGAGGAAATTTGGTCCGCAAGTTCTCTTCCTCTTCATCCTCCTCTGGGGCTTGCATGAGAGCTTCCTCAGGTTTCAGGGCTCCATAATTCCTCGGTGTCATCATGTAACGTTTCTTTTCTCTCAATACACAATCAATTAACTCTGGAGAATCCGTCTCGATTGATGGGTGGCATACAAGTTGCAGCTGTGAGTTATAAAAGGCGCAGAAGATGAGCATAAACAGATTCTCAAGGATTCTCTAACAATAGCTCGCCAATGTACAAATAGCAGTTATGAGCAATCTAGTTAAGGTACATAGCATACACACACTACTGATAACAATGTAAGTCTACTTACATCAACAGGTCGGGGTGTGCCATCATGCCTTCGGCCAATAATCTGCATGTGTATGAACTTAAGCCGAGCTTCTTTAACTAAATCAGCGACGATACGAGAGAGAGACTTCCTATCCATTTTGCCAGGCAACCCACGAGCTGCCTCATGGGCCCAGATTCGAGCCCGGAGAGCCGGTACAGAGGGAAAGACGCGGAATTTCTCAAGGTTCTCCAGAATGAAGGCTTTTCGTTGTTCTCGCTGATTGTCTGTTTTGCGAATAACAGAGATATCATTGAATTAAAAAAAAGGTTAGTTAGGTTTTGAGTGAAGGTTAACCTACTTTCAGTTAGATCGAAATGAAGGTGACATTCGGGGACATGCAACGGACACAGATGAAAAGAAACAGCAAACAGAGAAGGAATAAGCGTTAAAGTGCAAAGAGAAGAACATGCAAACACATTCAGTAGAAATCAACTAATCGGTTGCCAGGTTACCCTTTTTTTGAAAATTGGCGCATAAATTAATGCAATTATAAATAATAAACTATGCAGAAAAAGTCATAATTACACCAGTTGAGTATGTCTTGTGGGCTTTGACCCTTGACCCTCCATATAGGAGAGAACTCTTAGGCTAAAGAAAGTTACTTTGGCAGTCAGTCTTCATATGGAAAAGTTATTCATTGAATACGAGTAACAGCACCCCATGAATATATTCAATTAATTAGCCTAGCCTCTAAGACAAAACAGTACCACTTATTTTAATATTATTGACCTGGTCCACAAAACCCCTTGAGGTTAGGTCACAAGAGAAGATCCGATTCAGGGTGTTAATCAGTTCATACTTCTATCTTCCCTACACCTCGATCTACATGTCCTTTCAATGGTGCTTTATTTAGAGAATGATGTTCACTATGTGACTATTTCGATCAAATTTGCTAAAAAAAAACTAATCCGATAGGCAAGGCTTTGGAACCCAGGAAAACAAACAAAATACAAGAGGAAGAAAGGGTGATGAGAGAGAGGCACAATAAGGGGCACCAAAAGTGAGAGGGAGATATGTGACATGCAGGTATTGATCACTCACTCACTCACTCACCTGAATGGAACGATTTAGCTAATTGATAAACAAGCAGAAAAAAAACATCAATTACATATAATTATATAAGGAATTTAGTGAATGGGTTAGTCGATTTATGGGGTACATAATCAAGTGCATCAAAAAATACAGCTACTAAAACTTACAAAATGAAATTGAACCTCTTGAATCTACAAAAAGAAAAAAAGGAAGGAAGGATGGAATCGAACGAAAACAAATAGAGAATTGGGATTATGGAAGGACTTACTGTTAGTGCTTCTCACAATATCAAAGGCCTCCTTTTCGGTCACAAACCTCCGACTGCAAAGGAAGTAGATGATACACAGTAGAAAAGGATCGAGTTTTAGAGATTAATTTTGACCAGAGAACTTACACAAGACAGAACGTGGTTCCAACGGAGATTTTTGAGGTGGCTAATTTGCCAATTCCAGCGAGAGCATCGGCAAACCTAGAGACAGCTCTATGTGAGGAGTTGAAATGCGTTGCCAGGAGGGAATTGGACTTTGCCTCATTGTCGGATAGGAAGCGGCAGATTTGAACACAGAAGGTGTCTTCTCCATTCATGTGTATTGAATCTAGGAGGGAGAAAAAAGTCGTGGGTCAAGTTAGTGGAAAAGTAAAACAACCCTAAAAGGAATTGATGTTTCTGGGTGCAAGTCTAAACCAGTAATCAATGACATCAAGTGCGGCTAATTTGCAAAGAGATTTTTGCAATAGTTCTATCATAGCAACCGATCTAAAACGTTCTCGAACAATAACAGTATGGAAAAGAAGGAACAGATTAAATTCTTTGAAATTATTGAGAAACCAAGCTTTCCCTGCATATCGCGTAATGCTTCCATTGCAATATGAACAAGACGTTTGCAAGACTCCAAACTATGTCGGATGTTAGGGGATAAAAATTTCTCCAGCGGGGAATACGAACAATAGGCAGAATACTAGAATGTCACCAAATCCACTTCGCCAAATATATTAAAACAATATAAAAAGGAAAGGCCATTAGATGTCATTCTTAGCCAACGAAAAATAATAAATGGATATATAAAAGTTTGCGAAAGTTAAATAAGTTGGTGACTTCAAATTATAAGGATTACTTGCCAAGATTTTGAATTTTAAAGAAATATAACCAATAACTGCTCAGGAAATCGTCTTGTCACTTCTGAAAATGCAGATGACGCCACCGAATCACACACACACACACAACACACACACACACACACACACACACACCACCGTATGCAAGTAATCGACCATGAAGAAAAAAGGAACTTACAGAAAGATCCCTGGGAGAACTGTTCTTTCTCATCAACAATGTCAGTATCAGGAACAATTGTATCGTCCAAGGCTAATGCAGTATCCTCTTGAGGTTGATTTAAGGAAGCCGGACGACTGCCATGATCAATATGTGCATTCTTCATGTACTTCTCAACATCAAATGGATGTTGAAGGTAAATCACAGTGGCATCTCGAACAAATCTTCTACCCGGAGATTCGTTTGAGGTCATAATAGAACCGTCCAAGTTATTCAATTCAAGGGTCTCTTTGCGAAGCATCTCAGCACAAATCTCGCCGCAGTCATTCCCACTGTTGCTAATGAGGGCACAGGCGGTACTAAATGACACATGTATAAGCTTCAAACAGCCCTGCTGAATACCAAATTTTACAATTCTCATAAGCGATCTTCTTCCCATTTCAAATTTTTGACAAACTATACAAGGCAGCATCATTCTTGATTTACTTTCAAGCAGAAAATTGGAAAGTTTCTCCAGAAACAAAGCAAGAGGATAGGTAAGAGGACGGAAAAAGCGAAAACTGTGCAATAATGTAGTTCGCCTCATAGCCCTTTTCTTCGCATCATGAGTGATAAAGGGTTGAGATTTAATATAACCGTCACTAGAGAACAATTTTCGAATATAAAACACTGTAGAAGAAGACTCGCCGTAGGATAAGATGCTCTCTTGACCAGATATCGGAATGCCATTGTATCTTGACTTTGCAATTAACTCAAGTACTCGGTAAAGCTTCGGGTTCATGTTGTTATTAAGAACTTCTGAACCAGTTAGAAATTTAGTCCGAAGTGATTGGGGGGCTACAACGACGAGAAGATTTCCCCATCTAAAGACAATGGCAAATCAGAGATAAAAAAGCAAATTACCTTCGGTATACTTCGGAATAAGGTATTTCCTCGGAGAAGATTTGTGAGTTTACACAAGTACGTGTATTGTAATCTGCACATGAACCATAAACTCCGGGTTCATCTACAGGGTATAACTTTCGTGCAACAGCAGGGTGCTAAAAATCATAAAACAAAAAGCAAATTACCGATTCTTCAACAATTTCTTCTAAGTCTGCAAATCTATCCTTATATTCGTAAGGAGGGGGTTCCTCTTTGCGAACATAAAAGTTGAAGCTACGAAAGCACTTAATTTTAGTCCACAAAAATTCCTTCGTTTTCTCTTTAATATCCAAGGGAAATTGTACTGGTGGTTCTTGTAATATTTGCCACAAATGAGAAATCGGGACGCCATCCAATCCACCGGCACAAATCTCATTTATAATAATTTCTATATAACTCATATATTGAAGCACAAGGAGGAATCACGAGTTATGCGCTTGAACTTTTTCGTTTCATTATATCGCTTAAACAAAGATTAATGTAACTGTTAAATTGATGAAATAATTAGTTAAGATAGTTTCTACTATTATTTAGATAAATATTTCTTTTTTCATCATTCATATTTTGTTTTAGCACGTTTTTTATTATATTTGAAAAGTTTTGAAAATAATCATCATCGTATTAATTAATGTGTTGATGATTATGTGTTTCATTGGTGCAAACGCTGCGTTTTGGCATTCATCTTTAATTGAATTATCAAATTGCAACGTCCATTCTCGTACTTGGCTTTGACTTCTAATAGTGCATTGAGAATTGGCGTCAGATATATTGAATGAGTAGAGCCCCTCGTGCTTTTAAAAGATCGCAGAAATTGAGAAATTGAGTTTAATTTCAAAGAATTTCCTTATAACAACGTTTACGTCTCGACGTGAAGACGACATCTATTAACAGTTCATGTGTAAACTCATGAATAAAGCTGGAGGTCCAATGAGTAATGCAGATGGGGTCATTTCGTCAGATAATCTTTTCTACTCAACAAATATTTGATTGATCTAATGTCTAAATTTCCCTATTATTTAGATTATTGATCCATAGTATACCCGGTTATAAGGACAAATTTTATTTAAATATCTATGATCCAAATGTTTCTGAAATATTCCAAACTGTCATAATTTTATGAAAACATATATAATTTCTTCCCCATTCATAAATTTCATATCAATGCCATATGCCAAAGTTTAAGCCAACCTATAAAATAAAACTTCGCACACGAATTCAAAGGAAAGATGCTCAGATTGAAGATTCATTTAATTTCTACTTTAACAAGCAATTAATTTTAATTTCTTGGTGCCAATACGAAATATACTAACCGACTCCAGTCATAATTAGATTAAAATAAATAAGTTTATCATGTTATCATTAATCTCAAATAAGGGTGGGGGCGGAGGAAGTTCTGATGACTTATTGCTAACATTCGGTAAAAATATAACTGATGATATCACTCTGAATAAAACAGAAATTCCTAAATTCCCTCATAAAGCTAACCCCACAATCCTTAATCGCATTAAATCCCACGCAATGAATTTCGACAGCTAAGAGCGTTATAAATTTTGTTTGCTTGATTTCCATTGGATTTAATCTTCATTAAATGAAACAACAAATTTGTTAAAAATTAATTCTAATCAAAAGTACATCTTGGCATTAGTTAAGATATCAATACAAAGTTTATGTTCGAAGAAAACGATTTGCTTAAGATATGAAATGAAGTGAGATTAATTCACTATACAAATATATATATATATATATATATATATATATATATATATACAATACAATAAATAAATACAATAAACAGGTACATTCGACTTCCTAGAGTAAAAATGGTCCGAACCTCTTATAGATACAATTAAAAGATTGAATATTTCGTAAAATTAAGACTAATGGTTAAGAAATAGGCAAAAATAGGGAAAAATTAATATTTTCAATTCTGACTGTTACTCGAATAAAAAATGTGTCAGGAAACAGGAAATTGCATTAGTACATCTCATTTAATTGCGCAATATTAAGTTTTTGTCCTCGAAGCACTTCAACACTGATTTGTTGTACTGTTTTTAGATTTCAAAATGTATACAACTAAGCATAATTTTGAATAATTGGTGCTAACAGCAGCACTGAACCAGTGGACAATTTTTAAATTAAATGAAGGGCAATAAAAAACTTTATGTGCGAGACATTTTCTCTTTATTCCAAATTTGATGTTATTTTATGTTTCCTGACAGGTAGTGACAATGTATAAGATATGTGGGAAATAATGTTTAATATGTTAAGAAATGACAAACTAAAAAATATGTTAAAGTTCTCGAATAGCAAATTGAAAGAGGGAGTAATATAATTTAGAGACGCTTGTCTGTTGCAATTTGCAAATTGTTGGCTATTTTATTTAGTAAACGATTATCGGATAATTTGTACTATTTCTCCGTTGGTCACAGGCGTCAGTAACCTAAAATCTTCTATATTATATTATCATAAGCTTGTTCAAATTTGTAATTTGGTATATATATGTCAATAAAATTATGCAAGATGTCAAAAAATTTAAAATCTTTAATAAATGTATATTTCTAGAAATTGAAAAGTAATAAATTAATTATATCTCTTTAATTATTTAACATTCTTATTTTAGTCATTTCGGATCCCATTTCTTATTGGTTGTTTAAATTGGCCCAATCAATTTTTTCATCCACTAAGTGCATTGGTCTAACTGTTGGAAGTGCCTATTGGAAGGAATATCTGTACCGCGGCATTTGTTTCGACAAACAGATTTTAACGAAGTAGGTTTCCCTCTGATTGGTTTGTGATATTTTTTTAACTTAATTCATTTAAATCTTCCGAAATGCTTTTGTGTTTGCCTTTATTTAGGCCATACTCATGAATGCCTACCGTATTTTGAAATTGATTAAGGGTGTAAATGATCAAATTCTCAATTGAACTTTCCATTTTCCCAGCTATTCATACTTTGAATAATGTTTAGCTAAAATTTAGTAGGTTCAAGACACATGTAAATTAACATTTCATCAATTTTTTGTGAAGAATGAATAGCATGTCGGATAATCAAGGCGACGAATCTGCTTATCAAGAAGCCAGTTACTACGGAGCAATAGACAGCTCTCTTGGTGATCCAGAAAATGATTACTCAACTGGTGATATGGAGCAGAGATCGCCTCTACGAGAACAAGACCGTTTCCTCCCCATTGCAAATGTTTCCAAAATTATGAAAAAAGCCATCCCTCCCCAAGGAAAGGTCGCCAAAGATGCAAAGGAATGCGTTCAGGAGTGTGTTTCCGAGTTCATTAGTTTCATAACTAGCGAGGCCGCCGAACGGTGCCAAAACGAAAAGAGAAAAACTATAAATGGTGAAGATCTACTTTGGGCAATGAGCAATCTCGGTTTCGATAACTACGTTGATCCTCTAAAGACCTTCCTCATCAAATATCGTGATGTAAGTTTATGACTTATCTGTTATTGTGAATGTGTTTGCTTCTGTAATTTCAGTTTTTTTTGTGGGTTTTTATTGTTTTATTTTATTTTGTGAGTTTCTTGGGCGATCAGTAATCTCTGTTCTATTTTTTCCAGGCAATTAAAATCGATTCGAGTATAATCAACAGCTCGGCGGAAATGGCTGTTTTGCAACACCAACAACAACAGGCTGCCGCTGCAGCGCAGCATGCTCACCCTCCTGGAACGGTTATTGTCGCCGCTCCAAATATCCTAAATTCAGCTGCACTTGGTCAGCGTCAAGTGACTTTAAACGGTGCGCCTGCTGGTACTACTATTGAGCTTCAAGGGGCTGCCGGTGGAGAGGTGAAGCAGGTTGTCGTTGAAGGAGGTGAAATCAAACCCGGATCCACCGTTACACAATCCTCCGGTGCTCCTACCCATCTTACAATGGCTAACACTGCCACTGGCCAAACATTCTTGGTTCCTTTCTCCGGTCAGGTATGAATCTAATTTCTCCCATTTTCCTTCTATCTTATTGCCTTCCCTTGCAATTAATTTTATGTGGTGTAGTAATTTGCGTCAGTAACATGTGATATTTGCGAGTTTTAAGGGTGACCTCTGATTGGCTCTCATATTATTAGCTCGTGCTGCGCTGTTTTCATCATTGCTTAATATTCAACAAGTCACTCTTGATTTTTTCAGGTGGCTATCGTCAATGGAAATGCTGTTGTGACTTCCGCTACGACTTAGTGTCTTCGTGAATGAATTATCCCCCCCCCCCCCCCCANAATTTTCCCCCCCCCCCCCTCCAACTGCCCCTAACACTCACTGATATTAGATCTGCGCTGACTCCCATCTCATTATCATGAACGTTGTTGCGACTACTCAACCAACCAATTTTTTGCTACAATTTGGTCTACCACCATAACCACCACTCGTACTGTATCATTTTATCGTATCACTCTATCGGCGCACGCGTATAGGTTTCGCTCCTTTCCTACTCCCTCCGTTTGTTTCATTTAAACCAATCGAAATGTTTGTAAATCTATTAAAATATGGCTCATTTATGACCCCAAAATATGTCTTTTCCGACCAATCAAATGTTACAGTCGGCAGAAGTCGAAGAAGTTGACTGCGCTTAACTTTCATTCAGTGGATAACGTCTATACACGGAGAATATAAAAAGAAAGATGATTAAGGGCGTGATACTTAAAGATATAGAATGAGATGTGGACACAACAAATGTTGGGCTAAGTTAGAATAACGTCCTACAATATTGTACAATATGAGTAACCGGAAGATTTGACTTGGGATTCGTCATTGTCGTCGTATATTGACGTGGTGGAAGTGTCTTGACTGGCTTTCGGATTGGAGTCGCCGTCAATATTCTCCAGATGAGAATTATCCGGACCTATCTCCAGATGTTCACTTGAAGATTCGTTTTGAGGCAAAACCATTGTTCTACGATCTCTACGTTTGGGAGGTAGGCCTTCAAGAAGATTGACATTATTTCGACTTCTTAATCTCCCTGCTACAGGAGATCCAATTCGCTGTTCACTTTTTAATTTTGCAATAACATCTTTGTGTTGTTTACTACAGACCAAATTAGTGGCGAAATTGAATTATACCCTAAATTTGCACCATTAATAGCTTGGCCTTCTTCCTTTTTACCTCGAGTAACCATATTTAGTAATAAAATATAAAACCAAAACGATATACGGGTAAATATATTAAAACTCGAACCCGGCGCGCAATCCAAGACCGACCTTTGCCAATTAGTTTACTATAACAGTATTGGCTCCGACTCGACCTTCAGATTTGGGTATTTTCCAAAAGTGATTATTTTAGCTTCGACTGGTTGAAATATCAAACAATCTTGAACTTTAAGCAATAAAAATAATTAATGACAATTTATTTCATGGGAAAAATTCAGTTGAATCTTTTTTGTAAAGGGATCTATTACCATTTTATGCTTTGATTATACTGAATATACATTATGTCATGAAAGAGATTTTACAAGTCCTATTATTAATATTTGCATGATATATTAACGGTTACATAATATTTCTACTAACTATACTTCCTGATTCACTCATAAGCTAACCTAATTTTTTTCGATCAGTGTTGCATGATGGAGATTCAAGTAATTGCACATGATAAAAATTCTCACTATTGCAACATTTTCTACCATGTATCCAGTAGTGTATAGATGCGTATTATGTTAGCACTTTGAAACAATTAGCAAGTTTATTTAATTCCTTATACTAATACTGCTTCTTTAAATAGTATCCATGCTCTCTCATATGAACCAATCTTTGTGTAAAATTCTAACATATGCCTCTTAAGTCTCATTGCGAATTTTGATTAACTGTCTAGCGTCATCATTTCTCTGGAGTTTTTTGAATCGCACGATGCCTGCTATCTAAAAAGGGCTTTATTGTCCCCTTTTGCTATCTTACCTCCGGGCTGAAACTGATTTGAGTTAGAAAACCTTAGCAAGCGGCTGAGTTTCTAATTCTAAATCTTCTAGAACATAAGATATGAAATATGTTAATTCATTATAAATATATAACCTTTGATATTGAGGACAGACAGATCTTATGATTGAAGAATTTTAAACGGATAAGATTATCTCAAACAATATGTCTAGTGCATCCAACGAATAATTGCCCCTAAAACCATTGTAACAACTTATATTTCATTAAACTCATATTCACTCTTACTCATTCATTGTATCTACCCCCCCCCCATGCGTTCAAAGCGCACTGGCCTGTTGACTACTAATCACTGCCACTTTCTGTATTACAAGCACCCTAGTTTAGCATTCTTTGCAGATATTTTTTGTTCTCTCCCTAAGGTCATCTTCAACTTCCTCTTCCATGTCTGAGGAGCACACTCCACATATGCTAGCATCTTCACCTTTTTGAGACATTTTCTTGAATTTCCTAATTGTCTTGCTTTGTTTAGACCTCCAAACACATGTGCATACACAAATAAACTCAATATTGGGTTGATGGAGTAACCGAAGGTCCGTATCAATTGAAGTCCTGGTAAAACATCCAATTGGAAGAGAGACTATAATGACAGAAATGAAAATCCCAAGTATCAGAGCAGTATGGAAGAGTTTTACTTTACAAAAGGTCCTTTTTCTTCTCTTAGACGCTATGAATGCAAGTGGTTATAGTCCAATAGGCTCATGACCACCTACAATGCGGAAATACCAGTTTTCTTGAGCTCAATTTTAAAAAGTTTTATAGCTGTAACGCATCTTGAATAAATAAATAAATAACTGAATGGATTAAATAACGCAAGAGCTATCAAGCTTAGTAAGTAATTATTTATTAGCGAGGGAAAAAAACCGTTTAAAAAGAAACTTGACGGAATCAAATGCCGATTTTGTTCTAGCTATCATCTCCTTCTCCCCGTGGAAAATTTGTTTCTTCTTGTAGTTAGAGATGCATACGTTGAGATCTTCATTTCTTTGCAAGCAGTAATGTTTGGCTTCGATTTCCAAGCCTTTGGGAAAAGATATCTCAACATTATCCATTTCCCAGGCAAATTCAACAAGTTTGTTCATCATGCAATTCTCCATGGTGAAGAAGTCACTGTTGCCATAAAGTTTCGAGCAATATTCATAAGCTGAGTAAATTCTCTCATCCGTCATATACTTCTCCTGCATGAATCAAATAGATTAAATATATATTTAAACAATCAAAACGAAGCAATAGTATTTAGACATAGAAGCTGACAGACACGTTTAATGATTAACAAATTTATTTATCAATGATTTTGGCATGAAAAAGTTCACCTACATTGTTAGTGAAGTGACTTTTATTGATCTATTTAGCTTTTAAAGGTTAATTACATGTCTGGCATTGAAGGCTATCATTTATCTCACTAAGCAATAGAGTTTACTATGAGTAATACTCTTAGAAATAGGATACCAATAAGACGTTATTAGTTTAAGTTACTTTAATAACGGTATACAATCACGATTAAAGCTAAATTGTAAAGAAAATCATCAGCTTGGATAAACTAAATGTCTTCTAGGCAATGCAAAAGTAAAAAATATATATAATATAATTAGCAGTGTGAAACGATATAAAATAAGATTGAAATATGCGAGTGAATTCAATAATATAAGGCCTAAATTTAGATAATGACCAATGATCTCAGCAACATTTTTATAAAAAGTTAATATTCAATATTTACCCTTAACTCTTTATAAGATATCGCTGTTGCAAAAGCGACGACTGTAGTTAAAATACACAAGAATCGCATTTTCTTATTAAATTGGATCCCTGTTCCTTACTTGATGTATTGTTCTTTTAAAATCACCCAACGTCTATGTAATTATATGACTTTTTAATTGGATAAAATTTATGCCAAATTCTTTTCGAATTCTATCGATTGACATTTAGCAGTGAATATATCACATTAAGTTTAATGTCTAACTGCCGAAATTTATACTGAAATATGGAGGACGTGATTGGTCACTTCAATCTTTGAGGATCAAACCCGTGCCTTTTACTCAACTGTTGTGAGATTTAATTTTTTGATGCCATGGCATTGTGAACAAAGCTTTTACGTTTTGAACAATTCTGTTTGTTGTGGTGTTAAAATTGGCTTATTAAAAGGTTCAGTATTTAAAATTTCTAAATATGGTAAAATCTGCGTCCATTAAAAAGGATTCATCAGTTAAATTGCAAATAATTAGAAAATAAACCTAACTTGGCAATTACGGGTCACACATTTAAAATCAGACCATTCAGGTTAACGCCACTTAAATAAATAAGAAAAAATAGTTAAAATAAAAGGAAAATGAAGAAGAGGACTCTAGAGCGATGGGAAATAAGGCATTGAATTAAAGAATTTTAGGGTGGATGCACTTTCTTCTAATAAAATGGCAGCGCATTATTTATTAATTTACTCATCGTTTTCTTTTTTAAATGCGTCAAAAATAAAAATATGGAAAGCACTTTTAAAAAAATTTGTTACATATGGACTGTAGAGGAAGATACCTGAATAAGTCGAGACTAAACTTCAGAAGGTACTCACGTAGGTCATGACGAAATCAAAGAGGTCTCTGTGTCAAAGGCCCCTTAGTGTGAAATCTTTCCCGAAATTAGTTAAGCTGCCTTAACAATAAGGAAGAAACAGGGAGTATAGAGTGATAAAGGGTTCATTCTGGTTGTGTGACACCGACACAGAGCTTAGTCATTAGAATACAAACAAGGTTACAAGGACAATTCAGAGACTTTTGACCACCGTTTGACTGAGAGGTCTCTGAACTCTCACGACTACACTTGCTCCTCTCGCAATGAGTAGCACTGTCACACTTTCGAGACTGTTCGAGTGTGCATGAGAATTCTTTGTTCAGCCTTGGTAGCTTTGCGGAATCCACAGAACTTTAAAGTGAATGTTTCGTTGTGGTTAAGAATATTCTTTGTAGAAATATGAACAACGTGTTCAAAAAGTTACCAAGAGCTTTATTATCAACTTCATATCTCCATCTTAAATAGTGGGATATTCGTTCCAATGGAACACGACCCATATTGAAATAAATGCTGCTTCAAAATTCAATAATTACGTCAGTTGTTTTATTCCGGAGAATGTCTTGAAATACTTCAACCTCTCATTAATTCCAAGTAGGGGTGTGCGATAGACTTACCTCCATTTGGTGCACCCTGGGGAATGTATACCCATACGGGAAAAAAGTCTATAAACTGGCAGTTGACTTTTGACTTCAAACTATTAGGTTGGCGACTAAGTCATTGCCGATTTCAAATAAGAAGGCAAATTCGGAATTTTTGTTTAAAAATATAACTTTATTCAATTAGATATTGGCCGTTCTTGTCGATGACCTTTTTCCATCGTTCTAGCAGAGTAAAAATTCCCCGTTCGTAAAATGTCTGGTCTTTGCTGTTAAAAACTGAATTAGGTGTGATCCGACATCATCCGCGTTGTTAAAAATTTCACCATTTAAAGAGTTTTGCATGGAACGAAACAAATGGTAATCCGAAGGCGCAAAGTCAGGGCTATATGGTGGATGTGACAAAACATCCCAACCCAGTTGCAATAATTTTTGCCGAGTGACCAAAGATGTGTGGGGCCTTGCGTTATCATGATGGAAAACAACACCCTTCCGCCGATTTGATAATGCCGGCCGCTTATCTTCAATTGCATCCTTCTTTCAGTTTTTCGAGTTCTTCAACATACACATTTGAATTTATCGTTTGGTTCTGCGGCATGAGTTCAAAATACAAAATTCCTTTGTGATCCCACCAGACTGACAGCATAATCTTTACTTTGGTGGTTCTCTGCTTTTGATACTGTTTGGGCTGGTTGATCTTGCTTCACCCATGATCTCTTGCGAGTACCATTGTTATAAACTATCCACTTTTCGTCGCCAGTAACTAGGTTCTTCAGAAATGGATCATTCTCATTGCGTTTCAGTAGCGGCGAATCACAGATGCTAATCCGTTGCGTCAAATGAATTTCCTTTAACTGGTGAGGAACCCATAAATCAAGTTTCTTGACATAACCAAGGGTTTTTCATTTTTGTTCAATGCATGTATGCGACACATTGAGCTTCTCTGCAATATCTCGTGTTGTGCTGTGACGATTCGAATCGATAATGGCCTTGATATGGGTTTCATCCACTTCGACTGGGCGGCCAGATCGTTGTGAATTTTTCAGTGAAAAATCACCGGAACGAAATCTTTCAAACCAATTTCGACACTGCCCTTCTTTTAAGGCTTCATCTCCATATACCCCACATAACTTCTTTTGTGCTTGCGATGCGTTCTTGCCTTTTCGGAAGTAATACAATAAAATGTGTGGGAAGTGCACGTCCTGTTCTTTCATTTTTAAATTGGGATAAAAACAAAACTAAAGAACTAAACAAACAAATTTTTTACTAATTAACCCAGAAGCCCATACAGTAAGAAAAAAATATAGGTAAGATGCTCTGGCCACGTTAACAAAACAAAAGAATGTAGAGTGAATCTGTCAACAAAAACGGTAATGACTTAGTTGCCAACCCAATACCATCACCCCACTGTATGTCATATTCGACATCTTCCACAGTGCTCACAATACATTTTTTCTAAATTTTCCAACTTCGTCTTTGAAACTCTTCTGTTCCTCCCCCCCTTTCTCGACTTTTTTTCACTTTGTTGTTCCATCCCCTTTGTGAAGCCTGAAGTCAATTAAGGGGCTAATGATAATTAACATAAAGCCTGGCATTTGATATAAATAAATAAATTAATTAATTGCAAGTAAAACCACATTTTTATTAGCAGTTTTGCCCATAGTGGCGATCTCTCATAATCCCTAATAACTTAGCCGAGATCGTTGGGAATGTTTGATCTCTAATGATAACTGACATAAATGAACTTCTAAGGGCCAGGAATCTCTGGTCCAATTGAAGTTCTAAATGAGAATGCGAATACCAGGAAGGAATAATCTGTGATTAGAAGGAATAAACATCTACCGAAATGTTAACATTCAAGAACTTGACATGTTGTTGGCACATTATAAGGCACAAATTACTTCCAACCACTGTCAAGATCCATTATTGGCCTTTTCAATGAATTACGAGTGTTCTAACAACTCAAAACAAATATTCATCCACAAATAGAATTTGTGCCTATCCCACTTCTACCATGTACTTATTCTTGATTACTTTTTTCCGCTTTTAAGCAACAAAATCACTTTTATGCATTCGATATGTAAAAGCAAAAGATAAATCATTGTTGATTAGGGAGTAGCAGTCCATTACCTCGATGAAAAGTGGCGATAATTTTGGATGACTCCCAGAACTAGCTAAGCAACAGCAAGGCTATGGAGGAAACAGGCGAATGACATGGAATACGTCTTATTCTTGTGATGTTGTGTTGGGAATGTAAATCGGTCGTGTCCTCTCCGTTCGGTTATGAACGTCGGGCTGTCTGTTGAGGGTATCTTTTGGACTGTGGGTTTTATTCCTAGTTGACGGGAAGTTTTGTCATTTTGTGACAATCATGAAATGATTTTGGTCATTGATTGGCCGAGAGGTCTCTGAAATAATGATCCAATTTGCTCCTAGGCATGATGCATTTATCTGATTTTGTCTTGCAAAAGTTTTATTACCCATTAATTGCCGCTTGAAGATCGATTTTAAAATCAAGCAATACTGTATCTCTATTTTAATATTCTGATAACAAGAGGGTGTATCTAGAATACTTTCGTTGTCAATTCTAAATAGAGAATATTATAATTTCCCTTATATGGAGTGCGATAGACTTAACTATTAAGAAAAATAGGAAGTATAGCATAATATACGGCAAATGAGTTAAATTAAATGAAAAAGTACATTGGAAAATTTTTAACAAAAATCACTGGCGGATAGTGTTAATTGTCTCATTATAATTACCATATTTTTAATAACGGCGAAGAATGAAAAAAGATACTTATTAACCAATGAAAATCCAAAAAGCGTTAACACCAAAATTTTAAACGACCCAGCAAATTATGACCTCCCTATTTTGACAGTTTGTAAGTAAATGATGACATATCCGGATATTTGGTGATGCAGGTAATGACGAAAGTAAAAATATCACTAGTTTACTACAGTATATTTCCGAAAAAAATCCTGAAAATAAAATATGTGTTGATAATTTTTGGAGTTTCATGACT